GCCACGGCAGCTACCTGCGCCCTCTCCTATCTCCGGTCGTCTTGACTCTCTCTTGAAAGCGGGTCCAGATGGGGTAGTGGCACAAAGAGTGCGTTGGATGCAGCGCAAATCGCCGTCTCCGCGCCACACTGCTGTGGAGCACGTAGTGGACCTCATCGATAATGATGGTCCCTTCAAGTCACAAATTATAGAGCCCACCGTCCCTCAAATGATCTCAAAAGGGGATAGGTACGATTAGCATTTGTCCTGCCTTTTTTGCTTCTACCTAACGTCTCCTTCTTTATCCGCTTGGACCTAAAAGCAAATTGATGTGGTCTGCTATTTAGCACTTCCAGGTAGGTCTTCAGCACCGGTAAGTTGAGGGAATAAAGGTTGGTAGGGGCAAACTGAAACAAAATTACTCCTCGTCTGTGAGAGCTTCAGCTGGCGTCTTCAAGCCAAGGTAGACGGCCTCGCCTCCGTTTTTTAGGCAAGTAAGATCTGTGGGTAAGAATGACTTGCATGGCCTACTAAACAGGACATCGGAATAGGGACACCCCAAACAAGTAATAAAGTTGGCTTTTCACATAATTCCGAGAAAGGGTAAATATCCCCGTGGCTTAGCTGTAAAACTACCCATAACCCAAACTTTGATGGCAACCCTGACCTTCAGTCTGATCAAAATCTTAACCCTACAGTTACCACTAAGCCTAACATAAACCCCAAAGCTAACCTTAACCCTATCTTCAAACTTAGCCCTTGTCCTACTCATGAGCCCAACCCTATTTTCCTCGGAGTTTGGTGCAAACTCGCCTGTACCACTGGCGGTTCCTGTTCTTATGTCCTGTTTAGGGAGCCATTTAAGTCATCCTTACCCCCTGTAAAAGCCAAGCTCATGTGACCTTGAATTTACCAATCTTAACTGACAGAAAGCGAGCCTGTGGCTTAACTGTTGGATGCTCAGTGAATACTTGGGTCTAGGTGTCAGTCTGAGACCTTTCTGGTAGGAGTTTGAGAGAGAATTAGTTGTGAAGGGCAGCAATAGTAATTTTCATCTGTGAAAAAATATTCTAGCTTTATCATGCTAGGCACAACCTCTGAATACAGGGTAGGTACTCAATGTGCATCATTAATCATCGTCTTTGGCATCTGCTTTCGATGTTGTTTGACGTGTTACATGCTCACGTTTAGGCGCCTGGCCTGTCAACTGTCCATCAGAGAGGTACTCGCTATTGCTACCCGCGGTGGTGTATAAGTGCCGTGTCGCGCGGAATTATTGATCAGTTCATACTAGGCGGAAGGATAGTTCACGCTCGAGAGCGTGGGACGGAGGCTGACTCTGGAGGCTGCATCTTCACGACACTCAACGCATATTCCTCCCTAAAAACCATTTGCAGCTCTTTTAAACTAAAGCAGTGCACTTAAAACCGTGGCTTGGAAGGCTGCCGAATGACGGGATAACTTGCCATTGTTCTCAGGCCGGAAAGTCAAGCTGCAATGGGTCCTCCTGAATGAGGCTTCTATGGCACTGTCACTCAGATGGGATTCGAGTCGCCCCACATTCTTGTTTATGTGAAATCCTTGTCCATTTAGCGCGAACCAGACGTGTTTCGTATGCGTAGACGGGCTGGTAAAATTGCTCAGTCCCTGCGCCTGATTCTAGCTCTGATCTTCTTGGCTTTATCATGACATCGGGTTCAGGGTTGAGGAAGGAGAGAGTGCGGTAGATGCGGGACAAGTCGACTATCAATATAAACGAATTCACACGCAAGTAATCGTCCCTGCGTCCACTCCATTGTGGGACATCGTTGATGACGCCGGTTGAACCGCCGTGTCGTAGGCTTATTATTTGCATACCAGCTATAGAACATGGACAGCACTTTTGCGCGAATGTAATCCCAGCGATCGATTATGTGTGAAGTGGGGACACAGATCCAGGCCCAGGTCCACTCCTCCCATGTGTAATTGAGAACAAACCACAGTGAACATTCCCACCTTCTGGTCTCGCGCGGTCAGAAAATGCAATAAATAAGTCAAACGTACGCAGAGTCCAGAGCATCCTTCAAGGGAAAGCTCTTCTGCAGCACTAGGCCATAGGTCCAACTTCCAAGCTGATCACCCACTGTCTCGAGGTTGCAGTACTTATTAGTATAGTACTGCATCAAGGGAGTCTCCATGAAGACCATCCAATCCTCCTGAAGTCTTTGTAAAGACTGTTCAGTTGAAGTAGTGAGTCCTACACTGAGCATTGACCGAAAGAGTTCAGAGTAAACCTCCTGTATTGGGTACTGCCAAACGCAGTAGGTCGAAGATGTTCTATCTGTCAAAAAATGGAGGAAGAACAGTGTGAACTCAGACCTTTAAAAAGTATCAATGAAATTTGACTGAGAAACTGTCTTTCGCTAGACAAAAATTGGTCTTTTGTTTAGGAATGATTTCGAAGACTGCCCGTGACCCTTATCAGTCGGTCTACCGGCTTCGGAATGGTGTCTCTCTTCAAAACCCAACGACCTACAGTAAGTTACATACATGAAGGGAAATGTTAAAATGTTAAAAAATTTAATTCTAAAATGTGATTTCTGTTGGAAAGGATTACTTAGCTAGGGTTATAATATCAGTCATCATGTTTCACAGTTTCAACTCAAGCCAGAATGCCAGATTTTGAATGCGTTTCTTTTCAGTAGCCTGCAAGGACGGTTCTACGTATATACTTATATAGTACCGTTGATCATCGTTGTTTAATGCCCTTAGAGATACAATTTTGCACTAAGAAGAATAGGCATAGAATATTCTTTGTTTCAATGATGTGGTTACAAATCACGTATGCACTGAAACATTAAATTTTGTTTTTTAGATTTTGGAATTATGAGACTTTTTAAGACAGTGAAATGTCCATCTAAATAGTAGCGTAACAGTCTCTTTATTAGTGGTTCTTATAAAGTTTGCGACATCGTCCACATCTACCGGAACGTTTTATGGGCAGTGCATCAGATCTTCCTAATGGAATATACTTATTGATGGTTATCCTCACATGAAACGTGCACGGCTTGTATATTGAAAGCCGAAGAAGCAATTGCGATGACAGGTCGGATTTAAAGTTATGCATTAATAATAAGAAGTATTAAAAACGCGAATAAACACATTTTCAAACGAACAAAAACCAACGAAGACGCAATTCACTACCAAACCAGTGAAAGAAAGGATATTTGTTCAGGCTTTCTATAAAATATGGTTGAATTCATGAGGGTATCGCGCCTCAATGAAAAAAAACTCATGCTACATAAGTAATCATTTTTTACTGACTGTGGGTTTTGCAGGTGGTAAGGCAGAAACATTTTCAAAAGCTAATAGTCTTGCTTAACTGAAATATTTTACGATTACGCCTACTTATTGTCAGTATTACAACCTTAAAACCCTGTATAACTAATATTTTTATAAGTTAAATCGCATTTCAGAATGCAAGTCGATGTTTTGCGGGATACATCACCTGTATACTGTATACTGGAAGAGGCAAAGGATCAATGGTCTTTCCCCGAACAGCTCGTCTAGCCCAAATGTCATCAAAGGCGTTTTGCAAGGCTGATTTAGAATGTGGATGAAACAAAGAGATATCATGCAGTCCAAGTTTCGGTTTACATGGCGAACATTAACCATGTAAACGTGTTGTATTCTAGAAAAAATTTGAATGCAAAAGAAAAAACCGGTGTGGACATATTCCTAATGGGCAATACGAAACCTAAAATTATTTGAAGCGCTGTTTTTTGGACTAAATTTGATGAAAGTTAAGACAACGAAATAAGCAGAATTTAATAACATCACAAAATTACGCGCATCCACATATCGGACCAACAGTTCATTCTTTATTTATCTACCCACTAGGTCGAAGTCTATTTGGACAGTTTATATTGTATTTTTAATAGACATTGACCTTACGCAATTGAATAAAAGGTCACGAACTTCGATGTCGTCATTAAATACCGCGTATTTCGTCGCCTTCGCCTTGTTTTGGACTTACTAATTACTATAAAAGGCAAGCAATACTAAAAATGTCTTATCAGGATAGGTCATCTTATAAGCAAGCGAAATGAGAATATTTCTTCGGATAAATTTCCCCTCTTGCCGCGAGCGGGAGAAATACGAATGTTAGGGCTTCAACCTTGTTATAAAATTGTACAAAGCTCGTATCTCTATTTCGAGAGAAGGGAAGGTCTGGAGACAGGCCACCCCCGGAAATGTAACGAAAGGTGGTGGTTTGTGTTCACGGGGTGTGTGAGCTAGTACACTTCCATGTAGCTACAAGCAACCTTCCACAGACGTGCCCAATCCTTAAGGCGATTTTGGCTTTTGAGTTGACCCAACTGTGAAAAAACTCGAGGCGTTCGGCGGGATTTGAACCCGCATAGTAGAGAAGGCCTTTACCGGACACCAACGCTCTAACAACTTGAGCTACAAACGTCCCACCTCGTGCCATGAGTTTCATCACACTTGGGTCGATTTTAACTGCCAAACTTTACGGCTCGTATGGAATCCACCAATACGGAAAAACAAGCTGACTGCTGTTCAAATCCCCCCGAACGCCTCGAATTTTTTCACAATTGGGTCAACTCAAATTAGGCAACTCTGCCAAACCTCCTAATAATTTTAGCTTTTCTCTTCAAATGCGTCGATACCTTTATGCATGCCCCATCTGTTTTGACGTTGCCCACTGATGGATGGATGGATCAGGATCCTAATGCTGACATGTCTATTGTCCAGGCCAGTCGCGCAATCTAGCAGGTGTTCGCCTGTGTCCTCTCATCCCAAGAGGGCTCTTTAGTCAACCATATCGCCCTGACTGAATGAATTGGCTTAAGAAAATGGCAGCTTTTATACACCTCAGAAAAATTATTTTTCATTGCAGAAATAAACAAATGCAAGCATTCCCAGGTTGAAATAATCGTTGTTTTATGTCCACAGCACTCGAACCGTCCATCCTGAATTCTGTGGTATCAAGTAAACGGTCTGGGAATAACAAAATTTAGCTTCTAACAGCAGAACTGTGAAATTGCGGTTACAAGAAAAAAAAAAATTCTGTGCTTTCGCAAGGCCTTTACTATCTATCCTCAAGAATAATAGTAACGACAAAAACTTCGTGAAGCCCTATTCTGGCAGTGCTGCCGCACCACGATCCAACCGTATCAGAGTGTTCTTTTGTTTCGGTAACTATCAACGCTGGCAGTCAAATAGGGCAGGCAGGAGGGAGCATGGACTGCCGCTCCTGTCATGCCTGCTCGTGTCTATCTGGTTGTTTTCTTTTTTTGCTTGATCCTTATGCAGCCGATTGGAGTTTCGTTGATTTTACAGCCTTAATGTAAAATATTATTTCATTTTTATTCCTTTGGAACACAGATTGAACTGTGCCTTTTTTTGCTTCAAACAAAAATCTCCCTCCTCGACCGGTTTCAGATATGAGTGAATTTAAATAAAGTTACCCTTATGAAGCGTAAGTTGCTTCCACTGCTGGAATAGCGCCTGTTCACTCGCTGCTAGCCGCGCAAAGTACGTTTCGCCAGGGGAGCCCTTCTGTACCGTGAACTGGGAGGGATGAAAATAAAGTAAAATATGGCTACGGAAAAACAAAGAGTAAATGCATTTTAATGAAGGTCTAAAGGCGCTGCAATAAGTAGCACGACATCACCATAGGAGGACAAAATCACCTTGATGTCAGTGCCCTGGCTTAGCTGCCAGAGGTTACTTGCCCTCGCATCAAACCCGGCGACAGTGAGGAAGGCGGAGAGATTAGCGGAGAACATGGCCAGCATGATAGTCACAAATAACCAGAAGCCAGCCAGCAGGATCCGAGTTGACGGAGCTCGTGGGTTGAGATTTTGACCTTCAAGAAATGCACACACAAGGATGACACATAAATATACACCAAAACAATCCTGGTGATATAAATAATGCGCCCTAGTCTGTACATATGGTCCGCGTGCGATGGTTTGTACGGTGGATTTAAACATATGTAATGGAGAGCGTGCACATAGAGTTCAATAGTTTGGGCAAAGTTAGTTATGACCGTCTTCAAGGAAATCACTTTCAACTAATACACAGTGAGCCTTCAATTTGCGAATATCATGTTAGGATATATGCGAATATTTGCTTAGCTGTATGCCTGAAAATCATGATTTCTGCCAGGCTTACCAGTGAGGTTTGCACAGAACTAACATTTCGTTTAGAGGATTTTACACAGAGCTCTTAGTTTAATTTCTGTTTTGACAAAGGAATAGGCATCCCCACATTATATGCGACCTTGCGTTAAATTCCAGGGGAGTATCTACTTCCGCGCCCTAACCATAACTCCCTGGAATATGTCGCAAGGCCACCTATAATATCAACAGCACCTATTCCTGTGTCCTACTAATTTTTTCCAACTGCGTCGCAAACCAGTTGGTAAATCAATCAACTTAGATCGCAGCCACTTATATCTAGCCCTTATTCAATTCCGCAAAACATCGGAGCATCTGTAGTGACCTAACTCCGCGTGCGACGCCAAAGCCCTTGCGGCTGCTAGAAAGTGCGCACGCACCAGTCCCTGTCTACCCTAATCTTGTCTGGCCAATCATCTCCCTGTAGCTGACTCACAGATGACCGCACTTTAGACGCTGTGAGGACTACAGCGCTCTCAGATTTTGGACGCTGCCCCTCTCGGGTGCAGACTCATGTTCGTTCAACTGTCAATCTCCCCAACCTATTTTCCAGTAGCTCTGTACAGAATACACTATTCCTGTCACTTGGCGTCCCACTTCTTCTCTTCCCACACGGAACTGGACCTGAAGACCGCAGTGACAAAGGTTTTCCCTATTAACTTAAGCCGCTGCGATGCGTTGTCTGAAAACTTGCTATAGGTAGTAACACCCTATTTCGGACTGAATGACATTATAGCTAATGTGATGGCTATTCCAAAGTAAGTACGTACCAACCAGGAGGAGTTTATGTTGGCGAATAGCTGTCATTTAATGCGGGGAGAGAGGTGACGAAACCTTGGCAGAAACTGCGACTGGGATTAAAAGACCAAGTTACAGCGTGTATTTGTGCCTCGTCGATCAAATTGCCAGCTTAGATCAATGGTTGCGATCAAAATGCATGGACACATAAGGCAAGAAATTAAGAAAAAAAGCGAAACTGACCCAGTTGCATCGCTGATCCTATTACCAACCAGAGCGCCTCTTGTAAATTAAAAACCAGGCCGGGTGGCCCGCCCGCTTGCAGTGTCCTCGTGTTGCGAAAGCTGTAGGGCGACAGCCGGTCCAACAGGGCGAGCATGCAACCGACCACGATGACTGACACCAACGAGGCTAGCCACACCCATCTAAAAGCAGGAAGGTTGACATTTAGAGATGTAACTAAACAGAGCGTGTAAGTAGTTGCTTGGAAACGAGGCCAGGAAACTCAAGGCAAGCTAGCCTGCCTGTCTGCCGATACCATTTAAATGGGAGAAAATAGGCAGAGTGAAAAGCCGCCCTGTAATTAGCCTGCGTAAACTGACGGACAGCAAGGAATGTACATCTGGGTAAGTATAAACTGAAGGAAAGATGTTTTTTTATCTAAGTGGGTAAGGGAGCCTGTGGGAATTTGTGGACACCTAATGTTATGTCGATGGAGACTAGGAGACAGGTGGAGGAAATAACTGGGAGACATTTCATTAAGGATTTTTTGAAACTATTCCTTTATATGAAAAACGCAGAGGCAAAATAGGTTTTGTTCTCTGACAGTAGAGAGCATAGTAAAAAAATAGATAGCATACGAAATTTCCTCGATGTCACGAAACCTCCTATTTGGCCTAAAGCCTGCCGGTTTTCCTTCAATAAACCAAATTGGAAATGCAGTATTCTTTAGTAAAATACTTTCTGGGGCCCACATCCAATCAACAAACAAAAATAAAAAGATTAAATGCACGCTAAGTACGCCTTCGAATTTATATCATGCAATTGTATGGGTTAGTACATATACTATACAAATCTCGGGTTTTCGAGGAATTGATTTTTGTTAGCGATCATAAATAAACCAAAATGTCAATTTACAGTGGTCACTTTCTTTTTGGTAATGAATATCTATAAGAGTTTTACGCACTCCGCATGTTTAAAACACAGACAGCGCTCCCCTCCCATCCCGTTTCGAAACTCTCCCGGCTCCAGCCTCCCCAACACGCTGACTCTGTCCGGCAGGCGGCGTGGAAACGACGAATGTGACTAACCCTTCTCCCCCCTCCTCCCACACGAGTCACATATAAACCCTGTCTCTAGCTCAAAAGTTCATCCTCAGTGTACCTATAATAGCCTGACAAGGGAATACCGAAAACCCATGTTTACTATTTAATTTTTCAATCGTAACACGGAAACTTTCGCAGAACTTAGATCATTTAATAGTTAGAACGCAGTTTCTATGACGCTTTAGGAAATTAATGTCGTTTCACAGTCAGCAAATGGCTGTCGAGAGATGCATTGCAATCGCTGACGTCCGTTTTTCGCGTTAGAAAGCTCTGCCGAACATTTTTATCAGATTTTTACAACCGATGGTAGGGGTTGCCTATATGCCCATCCACCCCCCCCGACCAGGCACGTAACCAAAAACCACATTAATATAGGTGGCTTTGCGTTGAATTCCAGGAAAGTTGGAGTTAAGGTTAAGGGTTAGGATTAAGGTTAGAGATGCGATAAGGTTTAAGTTCGTTTTTGGGTCAGAAAACCGGAATATTTGCCCTTTTCGGCATTTAGCACGAGGCTGCCTGTATTACGCGGGGATGCTTGTCTATTCCCACGTCCTATTGGGAGGGGGAGGGGAAGGTATAAAAACAGTTTCGACTAAGATTGTAGCGAGGACTCGATGGGTAGAGAATCCCGTCAGCGGTTGAAGTGAAACTAGCAGTCGCCGTTTTCTGTTAATCTAAATTCGTCCTGTCCTATAATTTTCCTGCAGGCTATGTTTGAATAATGACAGCCCTGCGTACTCAAGACTTATTGATACCACCTAAAAGCGGCTGTTTTGCCGGCGAACAGTTCTGTCACTTCGTAGGCAGTCATGAAAGGTAACGACCTGATAATCCCCCGTCAGTTCGCGCTGTCTCCACAAGAGACATTTCCGTCCCATTTGAACATGCGTGTTGGCCAAATCTGGAACTTTAGGTCAGTGTTAAAAAAACTGCAAAGTTGAATATAAGATCAAATCTGAGGAAGATACACTAAAGAAGAACTCACTTCGAGAAGACAGTCATGAAGAAGAACATGCTGCCAGTTTCACTAGAGTGATCTCGTTGCACCATTATGAGGCCGACGACATCAAAGTAGGGGAAGGTGAAGTCGACCACCTTGGCTCTATCACTAGTAATAGACATGGGGACGAGTGCGATGTCGGCTCTCTGAAGCGGAGAATGAAGATGGCAATGATGATGAGGATGCAAGGAAATTAATCAGGAGATAAGAAATAACACTGAACAGCACAAACCAATTCCCTACGGGTACATATGTCCCCGTCCTCAAGTGGTCACAAGTGAGCTTCTGCTGGAGCACAGTGGGTGTGGGGAGAGGTGAGCGAGGTAAGTTCTGCGCAAGTCTACTTCACTATAAACCGTTTTTTGTATTTAACAAAGGAATGGGCAATCAACTGACACATTATGTAAACTGAAGGCTATAAAGAGATTTACAGTGGCTTCTCGAGTTATTCTACTTCTTTTCAGAGAAGGATCAACATCTGAGAAGCAGGCAAGTTATGACGAAGTTAAAAAGCCTGAATCCAGAACTGTATTCTAACACGATATCCTACATTGTTTTCTGCTGAGCATGCTAAAATAGCTTAACATCCGCTTGAGTCACGCTGCCCACAATGCGCGTTATGTTGGTTTACAGTCCTCGGCAGTGCACGTAGACCTAGGCGTCTGCGAACATGGACAATCGATAAAAATGCTCCAGTGCACTCTTCGGACGTCCCAATCACACGGACTGGGGATCTCAACTTTACTTACTGAAGAAGACGTGATTCTGCGAGAGTGGAATACCGATTGAGGACTGAGAACGAGACTCTATATAAGAAGACTTCACCTCAATACAGATAACTGGGAAGGGAAAAGAGACGCCTTGAAAAAAGTGTGGTTTAGGTCCTTCGGCTTGTGATATGCAAATCCCACATTTAAAGAACTCTAGTCAATACTCGCTCATTCAGGTCAAAGGCATACACCTACAGTACGGTCGGTATTTCATGCAAATTCTGAAATTTGTGAAAGATTAATAATCACTTGCAAGCCGACATTAAGAAGGGTTGCAATGCTGATTGTCCTTCAGCCTAATCTTAAGACGTTTCAGTCGCATCAGAATGCCGGCTCTTCAATAAGCTTCTTTTTGACTCGTTACAAAAAGTATATTCTGTAAAAAATGAGTACTTATGTAGTATGCATTTAACTCATTAATTTTTACTGCCCTTGTAAATGCCAAACTCGTCTTCTGAATTCTCTGATGGGAATTTTTGCAACTCTAAAATGCAAATATGTTTTATAGAAAACGTTCACAAAACTATAATTTCTTGTAAGCTTTTGGTAATGAATTACGCCTTGATCAAAGTATATACTTAATGGAAGAGAATATTTCGGTTTTTCAAAAATGTCTTATTATGAGGTTTCTTTACGATTGCGAAATGTTCATTCATAACACACCGCATCCGTCCATTTATACATGTCGTCTTTAATGTATATAGCATGATCCGCGTTAATTGCAAACTTTGTGAGAACTATGCAAGGTCTTCCTCACACCGCATGGAAAAGCATACTTTTTCTTACACAAGATGTGAACAGCATGCAGTTTAGAAACATTGAATTCAAGTCGATAGGTTTCAAAATTAATCGGCAATTTATAAAAAAATTTTGAATCGAAAGAAACCCCCTGCTTTAAGTATAAAATTTGAAGAAAGCGTAATTTGCAATCAAACGAGTACAAGCAAGAACTATTTTCTGAATGCTTTCTATAAAATACATTAAAAATTGTAAGAGCAGAGAAAATCAATGAGTTAAATGCACCCATTTTTGCAGAATATAGTTTTTTGTGACCGGTTAGAAAGAAGCTCATTAAAAAACCGGCATTTTTTGTGACCGAGATGTCTTGATATTAGGCTGTACGACAATCTGCATTACAACCCTTCTTAATGTCGCTCTGCGAGTGATTATCAATCTTTCGCACAGTTCGGCATTTTGCATGAAATACCGACCGTTCTGTATTTCCCTCCAAAAGCTGAAGCTTCACAGGCCATTATATTTTCTGCTGCCTACGTAGATAAATATAAAAACTGCACAAGCACGAGAGTATAGATGATTGAGTGGATAAATTTGGCAGCTTGCCAACTATCACTACACTCCCAGATATCAGCCGCACGCTGGTACCAAAGTAACGCTTTTTTCGGTGACCAATGGGAATACGCCTGTTTAGCCTTCGTTGCCGCCTGCTTCAAAGCATGATGGGCGCAGGGACGGTGACTTGCCACGACTTAGTTTATACCGAAAATAGGCTTTCGCAGCATCTACTGCACTTGTTTCTCCTCTCCTACCCGGATGCGGTAGAATGACGGACTCTGAAAAGCCAGAGGTGGGAGAGGGCGTAGGTGGTTGTCATGGCGGTAACCTGCACCTGGGTGTGCCATTTCACTTCCTATGTGCGACATTTATGATGGGTGAAGGTCCCTAATAACGCCTGCCGTGTTCTTACCTGCCCCCGTATTTGGCCCATCGCATCTACCACGTGGAGCACTTTGGGGAGCGCAAATTAAAAAGAATAACAACGACAAGACACACACCCGCTCTGTGAGTTCTGCAATTACGCCCGTCCAAGTGCCATTGGGCAGCTCCGTTCCGTACTCCGGTTTGGACAGGGGCAACAACACATAGGAGAAATTGAGACGTTCTGCCAGTGTATCCAACAGCTCCACCAAAAATCCGACGTAGGTGCCGTTCTCGTAGAGGACAAATGGTGGTTCCTACAATGTTGGGATATAACGAAGCTATCGTGATAGTAAATCACCTGAAATGGTGGCAAGGCGGAAGGGCAACGAATGCGCCCATACGGAGAACAGGGACAATAAGGGGGTAGGAGAAGCAGAAGCTTAAGAAGGAGGGAGGGAGATTGATTAGGAAAGACAGAGGGTTGCAAGTATTCTAGATGCGAGGAACACCGTTACATCTGGCTTGAAACAACAGCAGAAATAGCGGAAGGCCGCCAATTGTGACAAAAGGAAGATCAAAAAGCGGTCAAGGAAAAGTCGAAGGAAGATAGGAAGGAAGTGCCGAAAGTGGAAGAAAAAGAATAAGAGCAAGAGGAAGGAAAAGATGAACTGATATGATAATATTCTCGGCCGTAAGAGAACTAGTACGTGAAAGGAGAAGAAGATGGAGACAGTGGGAGCATGAAGAGAAATGAGGCAACAGTTGAAACACAGCATGGAACACACACCTCAAAAATCGTCACACGAATGCGTCTCTCATTTGGCAAGAAGGGCTGCAAATTGCCAATAACTGACATGTTTCCGCTCGGAAAGGCGTATAGGGCCAGCTAGAGGAAAGTTAAGAACGGGAAACAATGGACACACTCAGTGTTTTCAATGACAGAAATGCACATAACCAGCAAATTAATTAATACTCTAGTCCTATTTCCAATATGCTGTACATGGGGCAAGTCAGGATACACAGACCTGTCCGGCAGGTCAATCAAAGGGCTGGTATTGAGAAGGTCTGTCTCTCACATATTTTAGTCATATAAAGTATTTCGTCTTCCATACGACATAAGGAGAAATTTGACACCTTTAGGGAGTATAGATTCCGCAGTTTTTCCCTGAGAGATTTCTGCCAGTGGTTTGGGATTGAGTCATCAGTAGCTTCCTTTCGGTAAGCTGGGGAAATTTCTGAAGACAAGCTTTAATTGTTTCTTACACATTACATCAGGTGTATTCTTAAGTTGCCTCCCGGTTGAGGCCGTGACGAGCAATTTTTAGAGCTCCAGGCAAATCTGCGAAAGAAATTTTCCACACAATCATTTCAAAAGCATACAATTTCGGAGACCTGGTTCTGGGGCAGCCCCGGTATAGCCACCTCAGTTTCAGATTCGGCAGCATTGGCCATCTGTCAGACGACATGCTCTATTAATTCTAGAGTCAATGAGAGTACACAGCAATGCAGGGTTCTGCGCACAATAACTTACTCCTTCTAAGGACTTCTGTCTTTCTCTTAAAACCTGGGATTCGACCTGATAATTGTGGCGTTCTAAGCATAACAACTACTTAGACGCTACACCACTTCGACCGTCGCGAACGACGAGTTCCAGTGTGTGCTCTACAGCAAAGTGAGCGCAGAACCAGTGACTTGCGGGTGAAGGAAATTTTGCTGATAATAGATGTGCGCCGCATCTACCGCCCTGTCTCCTCCCTCACTCCGGACCTGATGTCGTGATAGTGTCAACAAGACCGGAGGCGCGAGTGAGCGTGGTTGCTGGCACGGCTAAACAGCCCGTCTACGCGTGCCATAAACGACTTGCCTCTCACACAGTGGACAAGGTTTTCGCTGAAAAAAACAAGAGGATGACTCTGATCCCATCGCAGTGAAAGCGCCATAGCGGCCAAATTAAATAGAAGCAATTAGAGACTGAAACTCAGTCCCGAAAGGAGAACCGAGTTATCCCATCAGTTGGCAACATTAAAGTCATTGATTTTTAGCGTGCCAGATTGTTTCTATTGTGGCCTGTGCGCTGAGTGGCGTGGGGACGTGGCCTTCAGTGGAAAGAAAGCCTAACAGTCAGACTTCAACCTAATTAACCTGTAGTGACCTCTGACGCACGCCACACACGAGGTTATGCGATCGCAAGTCTTGACCTACCTTTAGGACAGCCGAGTGCCCCGCGTGAACGCTTTCTTGCACGGTCCACTAACACGCGTACACTAGTTTGCCTCATCCCCCCAGTCTGGCCAATCATTTTCAAGGCTGACTCACAAAGGGGCTCACTGCGATGACTGCCTACGCTCTCAACACTTTGGACCGGCACCTCTTCATGGCTGGACTAGCGAACCGACAGTCACTGCTTCCTGCCTTTTCTCCACTCTAGCCTCCCATACCTTCTCTGCTCCCAAAGAACTGAATCTGAGGATTGTAGCAGCAAGAGTTCTACCTACTAACTTAAGCCTCTGCGATAAGCCGTCAGTTAATTCGTGGGTCGCCGTTCTAGCATCGGGAGTCCACCTAAGCGGGTCAGCAAAGCGGACTTCTGCATAATGTGAAACCTTGGCTTCATTAACAATTCGTCTCAAAAAAATAACTCTCTCCACTGGAAATTGCACAGTATATAGGCATGGAAACAACAAAAGGTCGACAAACTGCGATGACCAAAACGAAAGACAAACAGTTGATCCACACGGGAAAGCAAGAATGTACTCACTTGATTGTCACATCCCCTGCCACTCTGAATGCTTTCTTTCGGGCATGCATTGAGAAGGAATTCCGCGGTGTCACTGAAGTAGGTGCCCGCAAAGTCGATCCCCGTGATGACTCCCTTGCGGGCAGGTAGCTATGCAAGTAAAACAGGCTTCAGGAAATCTCCCCTGTGACAAGAGAACTCAAACAGATATGATTTATAGCCACGTCACGTCATTTTCCACTGATACATTTAGCGGGATTTCAAACTGTGTTTCAAGTCTTTTATATTCACCTAATGAGGAAAGTCTATCAAGAAGAAGACGCGCTCCTGGTGCATTCCTTCATTCTTGAACATTTTGGCCGGAGCCTGGAAAAAGATCTCTTCGTAATACAGGTGGCCATGCGGTAAGTTCCAGGGAAAGTAGCGTTAGGTCTAGGGTGTGTGTGTGTGTGTGTGTGATTAAACTCAAGGCTCCCCGTGGGGTCTCGTAGCTCGGTTGACTAGAACGTTGGTTGTAATAAAAATTTACCTTTGCTGGCGTGGGTTCAAATCCCAGCGAGGCCGCCGAGTTTTTAATAAATGTGTCAAATGAATTATTCAATTCCACCCAAACCCCTTATTAATTAACGTAAAAGTTAGGGCTTTGGGGAGATAAGGGAATATGGCTAAGTTTAGGGGCAAGGTTGGAATACAGAAAGACGTTCTTCCCTGGAATTTAGAGTAAAACCTCCTGGAGTACATGGTGGTCACATAATTTGTTGTCATTCTAACTGTTTTCATGGTATTTGACCAGACACAACCATCCCGAGTATGACAGCATTACTTGAAAGACTATTTTATCCTACGGAGAATTGAACAAACTTATTGTATTTGACTGCCCCAAAATCACTTAACCTTGATAGTTACTTTACCGTTGGGTAAGAGGCTGATGAGAATAAGATACAGTATGCGTCGGAGATTATGAAGCATAGAAATACATTTGGAGTATGCCTCCAAATAGACAGTATCGTTTAAGGGATGTTTAAGGATAAGAAAGGCTGAATACACATGGTAAAACGCTGGTGTCTTATTGAATACCTTTCTAACACTCTAAGGCCGTGGCTGCATCTTGCAATGGTGCAAACTTGACGAAACAATTGTTTCAGCTAGTTCGCGTGCTTTGAATTTTGAAAATTCGTCCAAATGTTTCGATCATTTATTACTAATATGCTCTTAGAGGTTTTCTGTAGCACGCTATTTGATTACGCACACCCTTTCTACGTCAATGAACATTGTTATCCCTCAAACAGCCCAGTCTGTCATTCTACCCTTTCTCGCTGTTTTGCCAGAATTTTGAACATTAACTTTCTTCTAACGTGCAGCAGCATATACTTTGACACAACACTTCACACTGGTGAGTCAGGTCTGATTGCTGTACGAATTGATGTCTGTGCACGTTGGCGGTATAAGTTGGCACTGTCAGTTACTACAACATGAGTGTTATTTGTTGGTTTTTGCTTACCTGTAAACTTAGGAACCCTCATATTCCGCAATCTTTTCGAGAAAACAATTTTACTCGTGGAGCCCCAAGACTGAAAATTTTGAATATTCAGCACTCATAAAGTTGAACGAATAGAATTAAGAGGCTTTCTGAGAAAACCAAAGGTTCGGGTACACATCGTTGATACATTTCAGTCACAC